AAAGTCTGAACTTAATTACGAATATATTTACTCACTTTGGGAGTACTTTAAGAAAGTGTCATCCACATCAGCACGCAGAAGTATTAACACTTAAACAATCTACGTTATTGTTACAAAATTTCTATGTTTAATGATTATTTTCACTATTTTGATATCCCGTTAATTTTGGATCGATATGCTGTTAATGTGATCAACATTTCTTTAAAGAAATACAGGAACATAAAACCTACTCTAATAATAAAATATGAAAGAATAGAGGGGGGGGGGGGAAATAAATCTGACTCTCATGAAAGAAAAAATAAAAATACAAGAAAAATAGGAAGGAAGACATAAATTTGACCCTTCTCGAAAACAAAAGAAAAATACAAAAAAGGGATATAGAGCTTTAACTCTAAACAATTTCCAAAATTAATAGAAGTTAAAAAATGTTTTAGATTTGACTAGGGAGTGGATCGAGTTGACTAGGTCTTGGTCTTGATTTTGTATTTGACCATGAGAGTTTTCTTTTTAATTTAAGTTTTTTAGCAAACGATATTATTTAGGGGTGAGCTTAGTCTTACAATGGGTTAGTAATAATGTGGTTCAAATTTGCCATTGGCGAGAATCGAATCTAAGATATCTCACTTACGAGTGGAGGAATACCATTAAACCGTAATACTAAGTGACTAGAGTTTTGGTTTTTTGTTGGCTGAGTTGAGAACATGCCCCATGCTTGTGTACCACTTTCTACGCTGATGCCCTGTTATCAAAACGACCTCAACTAACCACCACATGGTGGCCTAGTGGTTGGGAATGAATTTCATGTCCGTATTCCACATGGTATGTTCTGGATTCTGGATTCAATTCTTGGTGTTGGTGAATCGCACAATGATGCCCAAAGGGAGGTTGAAATGGTTATGTGAGTTTTCTCGACTCCCGGAAGGATGGACTGTCATGGCGAAGCCACATACTGGTCCCCTTTTTAAAGAAGAAATGACCTTAATTGAAACATATATTGTTACATTAAAAAAAATAAAAAATAAACAATTCGAATCTTTGAAGTTAGATGTATAATGGGCTCGACAACTAGTCCTCATTTTTACTAAAAAAATAGGGATTCTTCTGGACAAAGGCTCTGTGGAAACGTATATTGTTACATTTAGCTTTACATTTATATCCATGTTGTCAATATTTTGGGTAAGTTATTGGTGTATTTGGAATCATGTTATGTGGTGTTACAGTATCACTTAAATGTCTCTATAAGTTGAAAATATGAACTATGTCGTCCACCGTAACATGTGAAAAGTTGCACCACATGACAAGTATTCCACTTAGACAAAAGTTTATGTATTTTGAGCGAGACTAGTAGTACAATTGTATAACTTATTGATACACTACAACCTTTGCATATGGTCTAATATCCTAGTGGATAGGGTGTTGGATTTTCATCTATGTGTCTCGGGTTCGAAACTTCCCCTCCTTTAAATTATTATAATAGTTTCAAACCTTTCCCCTCCCCTTAACAACAAAAATGTTATTTATTATTGATAATTATTATTAAGTTCCGAATAAGAGAAAAGTCATACATCACATGTCACCAATAGGAAAGAAGCACATTAATCAACACTTCAATAATAATTCAATCATCAACAACCACGTCATATGATTTACAAAATTTGATCTAAATAATTGATTTTCCTAGCATTACCCTTTCTTCATATATATGCAAAAGCATATTACGTACCTATATATGTATAGATACTATTGTTATGTACCAATACATTCATACTAAAACTTATGTACCGATATTTCCGTCTCCGTACTTACATACCAAATCACCAATACTTCTGTACCTATGATATATATATTTTTTAAATATAGATTGTTTTTGTATTGATGTTGACTTAAAAAAATAAAATAAAAGAACTTGAATTTTGAATAAATTTTAGGGAATTGTTATTAGCACTAAAAAAATCTCATTTGGCACTCCAAACTTTCTATAATTAGAAAGAAAAATACACTTGTGAGGAGTGTAGAATGAGATTTTTGGAGTGTCAATCGCACTTCCCGTGAGATATTTTGTTTTTGTTTTTAGCCTTTTAAATCTTAGGGTTTAACATATTTTTCTTTTATAAATAGTTTAAGGTTTTCTAAATCTAATTCAAGTCCCTATTTTTGAAACTTACCATATTTAAGTACTTCTACCACATTTATTATTCATAAATTTACCATTCCAGATTCTCTAACCATCCATACTTAAGATATTTTGCACTCTAATTATATTAATAGATAAAATTTGGAAATTGTTATTAGCACTCCAAAAATCTCATTCTACACTCCTCACAAGTGTATTTTTCTTTCTAAATATAGAAAGTTTGGAGTGTAGAATAAGAAATTTAGAGTGCCAATAACAATTCCCTATCTCACTCCAAATTAGTATCCGTAAAAAAATGTCAGCAAGACTCATTAATGTAAATTAGTAATACCACATATATATATATATATATATATATATGACATTAACCTTTGGTCGCGAAGGGCTGCGCGTATTTGTTGGTAGTAGAGGGCAAAGAAAGATGTAATAACTAATCCAAAACCAGTGGAAACTCTAATGAAAGAGGAGCTAGAAATGAGACTTTTCATCAATAACAGGCTAATAAAATATATTGCTATTGGAATTAACGTAAGAATGCTCTGATCCTTATAAGCTTATCGGACAGCGAGATAGGGATGGCAACAGAGCGTGTCGGGTTCAGCTCTTGGGATAGTTTGGGGAAGGAAAGGATACTCATGAGTGTTTTTGGCAAGGGCGTAGAGAAGATGAGGCTTTCCTGCCATTACAATTTTTGCAGCTTGTGTTATTTTAGCGTCTTGTTAAACAATCCCATGGCTATAATTTTTCAGACTACGTATTGGTTTGGTACTGAGATGCTTTGATAAAAAGTGGATATAAAAAAAACTGAGCTTAAAAAGATGTTTGGTAAACACTTAAAAACAACTTATTTTTATAGTTTTGGATGAAAAAAAAAACTGAAAACATGAAGCAGCAAAAATGAGCTTATTCTCACAGCACAGCAGAAACAATTTTTTTTTAAAACACAGCAATACCAAACCAGCCCTACATCGACCACAAAGATCATTTTCTTTGAGCTGTCCTCTTCTCGTGCGCTTATTTCCTGCATGCATACGTAACGTAATGCTCTTTAGCAATTTGTACGTCAGTCATCAGTCATCGCCACTAGCTCCGATTAAAATGAGCTTAATTGTCGAAACTGTGCTCAAATGCCAACATTAGAAACCCAAGAACATATTATAAAAACTTAATTGCCAAACTTTTACTTCAGATACTTTGGTCTAAATCTTTTAGTATTACTTTGCCAATGTGGTTTACTTCAATTTTCGCCAAATTAATTTTCATCAATTTTTCATAACTTTGGTCTCTAAGTATAGGTCACGTGCTGTCATAGTTTTTTTTTTTTTTTTTTTTTTTTTTTTTTTTTTACGTCCAATTTCACTTACTTTCGTTTGAATAAGAAAAATAAACTTGAAATTTAGACAAATTAAAAACTAGAATTTATAAATAAACATGCACTAATCCTCTTATTTAGATTTATAAACATATAAATTTAGAATTTTCGAGTTGAAAAAAAATTGAAATTTGGGACCTCTAATTTCCATGTTTAAGATCTATGTAGATAGTTGTCATTTTTGAATTTCTATAAGTGAGATTTAAAAATTATATAATAATAATAATGATAATAAATAAATAAATAAAAACTCAACCATAGTGGTCACTATTGTTAGTCCCACCACCACACCCACCATTATCACCGTTGCCGTCGTCACCACTCACCAAATTATAGTTGCTGCCACCATTACCCACCATCACCGCCACTATCATCATGACTTATTATCATCATCGTCGTTATCGCTGCCACCATCCACCATCTTCATCACTGCCGCCGCCAATGCTGCCACCACCTCCACCCACCATCATCACCACCACCACCTTTGTTAGTACATTTCCTAACTACTATCTCTCAACGTTAGAAAACCAAGAACATGTTATAAAAACCTAATTGCCAAACTTTTACTTCAGATACTTTGGTTTAAATCTTTTAGTACTTTACCAATGTGGTTTACTTCAATTTTCGCCAAATTAATTTTCATCAAATTTTCATAACTTTGGTCTCTACGTGTAGGTCACGTGCTCTCATAGTGTTTTTTTATTTTTTATTTTTTTTTACGTTCAATTTTACTTACTTCCATGTTTGGGACCTCTAATTTCCATGTGTAAGATCTATGTAGATAGTTGTCATTTTTGAATTTCTTAAAAAAAAAAAAAAAAAAAAAAAAAAAAAAAAAAACCTCAACCATTAGTGGTCACCATTGTTAGTCCCACCACCATTGCCACCACCACTTGCCATCATCATCAATGCTGCCACCTCCACCCATCATCATCATTGTTGCCGTCGCCACCACTCACCATCATTATCGTTGCTACCACCATTACCCACCATCACTGCCACTGTCATCATGCCTTATTATCATCATCATCGTTATTGCTGCCATCATTCACCATCTTCGTCACTGTCGCTGACGCTACCATTACTGCCGCCAACATTGCCACCACCTCCACCCACCATCATCACCACCACCATCTTTGTTAGTACATTTCCTAACTACTATCTCTTACATTGGATTCTGTATTTGAATTTCCTTATCCTTTTAGGTTAACCAAATAAGAAAAATTTACAAATAAGAAAATAAATTTTAGAAAAAAAAAAAATCACAAATTTTAGAAAATAAATTTCTTCATTTTGCAATTCCTTGAAAATCTTTAATTTCTTCGTTCACACATATTAGAATTGTGGTAATATCACACTAAGTGAAACCAAATTTTCATTGATGCAAGTCCCCTACTTTTTCACACAAAAAATAATTATTGTTGCATGGCTTGATTTTGCATTATTCTGACTTACGTTGTGAGACTAGATATTGAAGAATTGTAGTATAGCAACGACAGAAAGTACTTTTATTTTTTTATTTTTATTCAAGTTGCTGCTTGCATACTTGAATTCTTTTTTACCTATAACACACGCAAACCAATTGTCACTATATATAGTTTGTGCCAATTCGTCTATGTATAATTATGTCTTACTATTACATTTTCTGTTATAAAATTTGCCCTATGTTGCTGCTGCTGCTGGTGGCTTAATCAAACTTTTTAGCCAGCCTAATTAGGCAACTAATCACATAAGCCCTCGTGCTCAAGGGCATCCCGCAGGGGCAAATCCTATTTTACGACCACCTACATCATACACCACCTGCAGCCTCTTCTGCTGAACGTTACCAAATATCCCAACGTCGCTGTCGTCGTCGTTCCCGGCAAACGCCAGGCAAACTTGATTGGCACTCGCCACATACATTATCCCCGTCTCGTCCAAATCCAACGTCATCCCTCCGCCGAAAGCAAACGAAATCTTCGGATACGTCGGCGTTTTAACATTGCTGAAGTCGTAGCAAGTGTCGAGAATAGAAAGCGCCGGAGCCGAGGTGTAGCTCTTCATCCGCTGCCGAAACGCGTCCCGCAGTGCCCTGTATGCGGTCGCCTGCAAGCGCGTGATCACCGTCCCGGAATCGATAATCGTCCCCGAGGAGGAAAAAACTTGACCGGAAATCGGTAATTTTTTCCCGCCAACGCTAATCCCGACCACGTTGAGGCCGTAAAACGACCCGTCGTCGGAGACGTCCACGAGGGGTGTGAATTTCACGCCCTTGGAAGATTGGCCGCCTTTGCCGAATCTGAGGTATCCAGTGCCGCTAGATGTGGAGGGGAGGCAGTAGGAGAAGAACCGGTTGTATTTCAAGGCGGATTGCTCGATGAGGGAGATGTTATCCCGGCCAAGACCGAGCAAACCGGCGGCACCCCCGAAGAGGCCCTTGTTGTTCTGGCCGCATCCGAACAAAAATCCATCAAAAACATCCGTCGACGTCAGGCTCAGCCGCTCTTTCCCTAAATATCCGACGGAGAAGGACCGATCTCCGTACTGAATGGTGTAGATGCATGTGGAGGTGGAGCAGCGGGGGCTGTATCCCGTGGCTGACGCCAGCTGGGAACATGTGGCAGAATTGCATGAAACATTGACGTAGGAGGCGGAGGTTGCGGGGTCAAAGATGGGCTCCTTCTGGTCGTAACACGAACCAGCACATGGGCGGCATTGGGTCCACGTTAGATCGCTGCCTGTGTCGAAAATGAGGGAAAGCTGCTTCTTGGGTGAGCCCAGACCCACGTTGACAATGTAATTGCCCGAGCCCACTACGCTTCCGGACTGGGCGGGGATGGTGGTGGCGGCGGATGGACGGGGTTTGCCGACAGTAGTTGTGGATGGTGATTTATTGATGTTGAATCGGGAGTGGATTGAGTCGACTCGGGCTTGGTCCTGGTTGAGGATTTGGGCATGAGTTAGAGTTTTGGATTTGTTCTTGTTGATTCGAGAGCATGGTCCGTGCTTGTGTACCACTTTTAGTACCGATGAAGATGATGACTCCTTGTTCTCACCGCCTGATTCAAATAGATCGGTTACAATTAGTTACACATTTTTACTATAACCGAAGGAGACTACGTCCGATACAAAATCATAAAACGCTTTCAAGTAATAAGAGTGGTTTTTAAATAACTTTTTAAGTACTTTTTGAGGAAACACTTTGCAATTTCTCCATTTTTTTTTTAAATTTTAACAAAAACACTTTTCAACAAAAAATGCTTATAAAGAGAAATATATGAGACATAACATTTTCATTTATAAATATGAAAACCCAACTTATGTCTTTAATACGTAACGTTTTCTTATAATCTCTAATGTTCTTTGTATTATTTTACTTAGTACTATAGTCTAGTGATATTTTTTTTCCACTTGTAATTACGAGGTCTTATGTTCCATTTTCGCTAATGACAAATTTAAATTACATTATTATGGCTAGCCTAGTGTGAGAGTTAGCCCCCTCCCTCATCCTTATCCTTCTGTCAGTCTTGTGGTACCTACTTATGTGGCCATGAATAAACAAAGAACATGAATGGTTTGTGGATAAATTGGTTTAGTACCAAAAGAAAATAGTTTTTAAAGGTTATGATTTCATGTTTCTATTGAGCAATCATTCCGTAATTTTTAATTATTGTAGCTTAAACACACACAAATATATATATATATATATTTTTTTTTTTCTTTTCTTTTTCCTAACAAAAAATATTATCTACACTAATAAGAGAGGATAGGTTTAGTCTCACAATAAGCTAACAATAATTTAGTTCAAATTCTCTTTTGGTAAGAATCTAACTTAAGACATCTCACTTACAAGGGAAGAGGAATGCCATTAGACTGTAATACTAAGTGACAAATATATATATATATATATATATACTTACACACAATATATATATATATATATATATTTGCAGTTAATTAAATTGTTAAATGTAAAAAAGAAAGGAGACCGTTGAAGATGAAACCTAAACAAAAGTGCATAAATATTATTATTTTTTGCTACTACAACAAAACGTCATTTGCACACACACACAGATATTTTTGAAACAAAAGACTCAAGAAACAAAACCATGAAAAAAACTCTTTTAATAACTTTATGAAAGTTCCCAAAATTTAGACAAAACGAGCCATTCTATTTTTTAAAGCATAAATTGGTTGGAGCAGCATGTTTTCCTTTTAGTATATATTTCAATTCGATTCACCTTTCATAATTTAAATTAATTTAGTGTAATCTATTAGTAGTATATGAAAAACATAATCCCTTTTGTTATTGGTGTTAATATAATCGTGTTCGCATCAGATAATAGTAAATCCTAGCTCACTATTTTCATATTTGGTTCCGTACGTATCACCATCATGCATGTTGAGACTTACATCAAACTACCAAAACTTTATTACTTTCCAAAATAATATAATTTTATGACTTCAGGATTTTGCAGAATCTAAGCCGTGCTTTCTTTATTAAAATATCCCCTAATTTTCTTTTATCTATTTTATAAAACGAAACATTTCTCCGACCAGCCGCAGGACATATATTTCCAACATTGCAATTAAACCTTGTACATAGAAGCAAGCTCTAACAAATTATACAGTGGCCTTCTATGTGAGTGATTTTTTATACGAATGATCTTTTGCAATGATGACTTACGAAATGACCGGTTCAATAATATTGAAAAAAAAAAAAACTTGAACATATTTATTAACCTTTGGCGGAGGAGCTAGGGCTGCATGAGGTTGCTGGCAGCAGAGAATTGAGTTCAACTGTATGAGAAACTGGATGGGTTTCAACTGTATGGGGATTCTGGTTCTCTTCCAAGGCAAAGCCCTTCTCCAAAGAGCTGAGAATTAGGGATAGATATACAGAGAAGCAAAGTAAATAGTTCATGAGGAAGGAGGAGGAGGAGCAAGAAATACTGGGAGTTGCCGCCGTGAATATCGAAAACTCTTCCCAGAATTCAAATTATGGTGTTGCTCCTGCATATAGCGCGACCTTCTCAGCCTTATAAGCAAATGGGAAACCTATTGGCGTCTTACACGTATCCCTTACAACTTGACATGAGACCAATTGATTGATTAGGGTTTTTTTTTAAGGGTAGATATAACAGTCTGTAGAAATGGCGTATGTGTACGTATATTTAGACTGCGTGGCTTCAGCTTCACGTTCTTTGCTGAATTAAGACCAACTATCCCGAATCACATACACAGATATTGACAAACGTAGCACGCTTAAAAGTGAGTGACAAATACTATAGTCTATACGTGACGCAACCTTCTCACCGTTTTGTTCATATAGTATAAAGACACAGCATCGACCTTAGCTAAAGGGTGAGACCTTAGGCAACCACCTTATATACCTTCCCCTCCGTCATTTTACCTAAAATTTCATCACGTGATTGGTAAGCTTGATGAGAGAGAAACAATATTTATGAACAGGACGTCTCTGATTTACAACACTACACATACGTACACAACTTGTGAATAATATTGACATGGCGTGTATTTAGGTATAATATATTGCTTGACCTGTAATGACATATAGCTGGATGATATATTGAATATCTCTGTGCATTCGACTCGTTTGACTATATCATTGATCAGGGTTAGCTTGCTTTGTAATCGTACATAGTTGTTGGCCAATAAAAGTAGTCTTTATTATGTGACTGGTTAACGTAACGAAGGAGATAAATACATATGAGCTAGTGTATTTATGATTGTATGTGACTTGTGCTATAGAAATATTTCTTCCTATTCTAGCGTAGAAAACATCGACCAGCACAACATGTTAGTTGATTTATATCATTTCCGTGGATCTAATTACCTACTAATAGCTATAGGGAAGGCACCCAAATTATCATCCACTACTAATTTGCACTATATATACCTTAGTATATTATTGCATGAACATGGTTTTCTTGTTAATTATAGGCAAATTAGCAACTTCATTAGTTCTTGCATTCATTTCAGCCTTCCAGAAGAAAAAAAAAAAAAAAAATATATATATATATATATATATAACCATTTGTACAGTATTTTCCAGCACTGAATTGACTTGGGTCAACCTTGATTTTTCAGTAGTGGAGACATGCTGGAAGGGCAGCCCAATGGAATCATCATGTTTTCCATGATTTTAATCCTCCAAAACAAATATATATGATGAGCGGATCCTTTTATAGTTGGCAAATCAATCCATTGGTTTGTTAATGGATATCCGTTAAGACTCGTTTAATTTTTATATCACCATAATATATAAGTGTGAATAGTAGTGGTGATGATGGTGTTAGGTGAAATCAAACTACATGAGTCTTAAAATTACTCATTAACAATTCAATGACTTGGTTTGCCACCTCTAGATTCATACACGATTGTTAGACAATTTTTTTTAAGGCCCACTCCGTCTACTTTTAGGTATTCCTTCAAATATTATGTCTAAAAAAAATTACCTAACATAAAACCATATAACGGTTGGAATAAGACTTTAGGGCCGTATTCGGTAATTTTTTTTCACTACAAATGAATATCTTAATAGTTTTATATTTGTCTAATTTTTTATAAAAATAATCAATGAATGATGTTCTAAATCGATCCAAACATGAAATACATTTACGGAATAGACTCTACAAAAACTTTTGTAAGATGATGGTGGAAAAAAAAAATGATACGGATCCGTCCCATATATTTTAATTTTCTAAGTGGTAACCCACCCACCCCAAAATCGACACCATCCCAGTATAACGTACTCCACAAATTATATAGAAGTCCAAAATCTAATATTGATGCATTTATTTCATTATCCCATGTAAATCTTTGGCATGCTATTGCTTATTATTGTTCATATTAAAAATTCGACAACATACTATGATTAAATACAATACTATCAATAATTCGAATTCAGAGTTTGAGAAAATATTATGATTAAAACGAAGACTTGTATGACAGGATAATAATTATTTTTTGGCGTAATTGTGCAACATGAACAATAACTTTATGAGTTTATTTGGTGCATTATTTTGGCACAATTGCACCCAACAAATAATTGAGTCCACGAAGACCACACCCAGCATCACATTAAAATTACTGGATGAAAATTAACACCCACCAAGGTTTATTCAATTCAATACCACTCCATATAAATACTACTTCTTTATAAATCTATTATGTACTTGACCATCCTCACTAATAAAGCAATATTAGCACAATAATAAGTAGAAATTTTCTTTTGCTTATAAATTCATGCAAAATAAAAACAAATTTCCAATTAATATGTACCAACAATTAAGTTAATTCGTCAATTTTTTTTCTCTTCATATGTACAATGAAATACCCCAAATGAGACGATCTTTTTGTAGTTATAAGTTGTGTTATTCCATCCCATGAAGACATATTCATGAATCCGTCACAATCTAGACTTGAATTATTGTTCATGAATTTATGACTTTTGACATCAGAATATTGTTTTCATAACAATGTGATGGCCTTAGTTAACAAAATTAAATAGAATGGGTGGTCAATATCCTAATGGATAAGGTGTTGGGTTTCCACTCATGCATCTTGGGTTCAAAACTCCTTCCTCTCTTAAATTACTGTAATAGTTTTGAATCTTCATTTGTTTCCTTAAAAATAATAATTAAAAAAAAAAAATCCTTAGTCCTGCATAGTTCTCTTCTTCTTGTTTGATTGTTAATTGCACATCAACAGTTTCTGGTGATTAATCATGAAAGAAAAATAGTGGGAATCTTTAATCCGAGAGGGAAAAATGATTGATATGTTGAAACTTGTAAGGGTGTGGGGTAGACAGAAGTTGTAGTGGATGGCGGAGAAAAGCTGGAATCTGTCCCAAAAATGAAAGAGTGAGAGAGATACTGATAGAGATTTTGATGGCTTTACTTCCGATCACGTTGTAGTTTTCAGTACCAGCATGCAACATTTAAATTTTTATTTATTTATAAGAGTTCATACTTTCTACGAATTGGCATGGCTTAGTTATTATTATTTTATTTTTTCATCCATATGCCTAATTTCCCCTCTTTGATAGTGCACCGTGCACCGTTGAATATTATCTCTTTAGCGACCCATCACATCATCATCTGAAGTTTCTAATCTGAATATATCGCAAAAATCTTAGCGACCCATTACATCAATATTATCTCTTTAGGAATTCATGTGTAGTACACGCGATCTATTACACTAATATTATATCTTTAAGAATTCATATGGAGTATGTGCGATCGTCTTTTGTTAAATAACGAAATTTGCACTAATATAGTGTTGACTATTGATAATAACACGTTGATAATTAAATTGTGTTGTTGACAATTTGTATATCAATATTATATGTTATTTATCGACAACTTATCTTTTAATAAAGAACGAACATCTTGTCCTGAGAAGAACTAACTATATGCATGCTTTATATATATAATAAAGTTACTTGTATAGTTTCTAAGATGATTCCCAACCCTAGATCATATAATTCATGTTAATGTAATGTAGTTGGAACGGAGTCAATGTTTGGTTATATTTTTCCTAATGTAATGTAATAAAGAACGAACATCTTATCTAGTGCTTAGTTGATTAATCATCGAGGAACTATCCAAACAACTACATAAGGATGAATTTTTCTTTGAGTTCACACTCTTGGGTAGTCTTCATGTGCTTATTTTCTGGTTGCACATGGATGTCGCATTTGCAAATCGCCACCCCTTTTTAATGCAACATGATATACTAAGAAGGACACTACTCTAAAAACGCATTTTAGAACCATTTCGTGTTTAGAGTTAATTAACTTTATTTTTAGCATAGTTTAGCAGTTATTTCTTTGATTAAGATGGATTATTGCTCATTGTGTTTCATATATATAGATAACTATTTGAAAACATATTGAACTTACTTAAACACGAGAAGAACTTTCATGCAACTAGGATCTTGTAGGGACATAATATGTCGACTAATAGGAACACATGCACCATGCATACAACTTATCAAATATGACTACTCTACCCTTGACGGAATACACAAACCTTAGTCAAATCCTAACGGGCTAATGGGCCACATACCCTAGGAAGGTCCTAGAAGCCCACAATCAACATGCCCCCAGACCCAATTCATTGCAAACGGTCCAAGTCGATTGCCACTGAACCTACGCATATCACCTTGCTATGTAATGGGCTTACTTATCAATCTCTTAGCATGATAAGACTCTCCAAAGAATATTTAGGAATCTCATTAGAATATTTCTCCATCAATGTGCCTACTAGATAACTTTCTGCTAACAGGTTCAACAAACCTGGACGCTAGGGTTAATTTTTCAATTTTCTATAAATACCTTAGGTCAACCACTTGATTCTAGTAATAAAAAAAATATCACCACACTCTTATTACTTCCTACATTCTTTTTGACTTAGGAATAGAGATCCTTTGGCCAACACTGTGTAAGAATTGCAGAAACCTTGGAGATGAAGAAAGAAGAAAGAACGCAGAAGAAAGAAGAAGAAACGAGAGAGAGAGAGTTAGGAGGGAAAACAGACTTTGAGAGAAGAAAATATTTGTTATTTTTCACAGTATTTTCTGTTTACAAAAGAACTGTTATATGTAGTTACAACACCTTCCTTACTAAGCTTAGGACTAACTGCTATCTAACAACCTTATAACAAACTATGTAGGATCTTGACAAGTGTCATTCATTTCTGCCATAGATTTATCTTTCCCTTGGAGGTTGGTATTTCCTGCTTCACTATTCTTACACACTGGTGTTAGTCTAACTTTGTTTGTCCCTTTTCTTGTGCGTAGGTTTCGCCAATAAAATATGAGGTGAAAATTTGCTCCCACAAATACAACAATAGAAATATCCTTTAACTAATCATGCAATGACATGTGAATTTTGTACAATGCGTGATTGCCCTTATGGTAACTTCACAATATCATGATCAGGATGTAGACAAGTTCCCACCTATACCTTAATTTCCTTCAATGTGAGGAGTTCCTTTGAAAGCTTTCCACTTTTCCTAGTTCTCAAATCAGAAATTGTTTTCATATACATACAACTGCCTTTTTGCAACAAGTTCACATTAGTAGACAAGGCAAGTTGGTGATTCCTTGGAACAAAGCCTATGTTCATTCTGAATCAGAGGTTTGGTTTGATCAATTTACAAACTTCGAACATTCCAACTCTTTTATTAATTTCTAAACTTACTGAAACAAGAATTTGAATCGTTACAAGAAATAGTGCATACAATAGTATACAAATGTGAAACCAATTTGGTATTTTGAGCAAAGATGGTGAGCCAGCTTATGCAGCCAACAAAACCGAATCATGATTTTGGAGAGGAGCATCATCACAGCAGTCGCTGACATAATCGAAATCATGCATTAAAACCATTAAATTAGCAACAACATCCATCCTTCTGATTTCCTCCATCAAAACTGCCAATACGAAATATATCTCTTTGCAGTGGGGATGGGAGCGATCTTCAGCTTTGAAAGAAATCACCTCATCCTTGGTTTCTATCCAACTCCAGCCAGGGACTCTTCTCACACCCTTTTCCCTCATAAGTCTCTTTACACTAGCTTTCTCAACCCACCTTTTGAGATGTCCATACATGTTGCAGAGAAGAAGAACGTAAGTGCAGTGCTCTTCCGGTTCTAGGTCTAGCAGATGGCTTGCAATTTGAGTAGCTAATTCAATATTCCCACAAGCCTTACAGGCACCAAGTCTTCAAAACCATTGCGTCGGGTTTAAATGGCATTGCCTTCAATCAGGCCTTTTGCCTCATCTAGACGCCCAGCTTGCCCGTATAGATCTACTGCGCACGCATAATGCTCCATTCGCAGGGTTATTCCATAATCGAATTCCTTAGATTTTAGAAATTTGCTGCCTTGTTCTACCAAACCCATGTGGCTACAGGCAGTTAGTACTGCAACAAAGGTTATATGATCTAGTTTCACCTTTTCCTTATTCATTTGGAAGAAGAGGTCGAGTGCAACATATCCCTGCCCATGCTGTGCATATCAGAAAATGATTGAGTTTCAAATGATTGAGCTGTCTCTGGGGGTCTCTTCAAAGGATTTTCTAGTATCCCCAATGATCCCACACTTTGTGTACATAAATATCAAAGAACTAGCGACAAATTCATTGGACTCGAGCCCTGATTTTTGTGCCAATGCGTGAGCCTGTTGACCCAGTTGGAGGGTTACTAAATCCGAACTTGACCTGAGGACAGCTGAGAGAGCATAATGATCAATCTCTACCTCCGAATTTTTCATATCCCCAAAGAGTTTCAAGGCATCTTCATTTAAACCAATTTGTGAGAATCCAGTCAAATTCTCTCTCCACTCACCAATGCTGGACAGACTCAGAACATGTGATTGACTAATTGACCAAATATATTATATTGATCGACCAACTACTCACATCTCGCAACTATCCATCGATTCTTATCTAGCAACTATGATCTTATTTAAAAATGAAAAAGAATAACATAAACTCAAGAAAGATAACAGCCATTTCAATTTCCTCTCTGTACCCTGATCACTTAAAACAAAATGAATTGGTCTTCTACGTTAATTGACAGCACATATAATATAAGGTTTTACAAATGCATGTTAAAAACAATTTTAGACATTGAGCAACGCTTACAAAGTAGTACCATTTGGCTATAATTGCCTTTCAATTTTTCTCCTCCAACCAACAAAACCGTCACCAGATTGCAAGTATTTTCATTCCTTCAGGCATTAGTCGTCGGACAAGAGGCTCGAATTTCGCCTTCATCACCTGTCTTCACGCCGATGCTAGCAAGTTTCAAGAATGACTCGGTCCAGCTCTGGAAAAAAACTAACTTGGTCCTGTGCAAAAATCTCCACTTGTTTTCTTCTTCAGTTCTTCTGCCATTGGTTAGCAAGACGGAATCCGATTGAAACAGCCCTCTGTGCTAAGAGATTCTGGTAGTACTGATTATTGAAGGCAAACGATGTTTTAGGCTCGGGTGTCCTCCCATGAATTTGTCCTCGGCGGTTTTGTTGCCTTCTGTGACCTTGCTGTTGGTGGATCATCTTTCACTAGCTTTCTTTGATTTGTGGTTGTTGTTCCTATCTATGCAGTGCTTTGTGGAGGTTGTGGAGTCGTTTTTTCCATCATTTTTGCGGATTTGGTTGGTTGTTTGGAATTTTGTTTCTCGGCAATGCTCTGCTTCTGTGGCAGGAGAGATTTTTCAGTGTGACCGTCATACAAGGTGGTACATTATGTGTTTCTATATAAATGGTGGGATATGTGTGTTAAAAGATTAATAACTTAAAAATTAAAATTTTCCACCACTTACATAAAAATATGTAGTATATCATCTATATTCCTATCATAACTAAAAATTTCTCCTGCGGTAGCAGTTCAAGTAGGATTGTAGGGTCTTTGTTTGGTTTTTCCATTTCTGGGCTCAAAACTTTATTTTGGGCTTTCTAATTTAGAGACCAGTGATTATAAATTTTTAATTGAGAGACCATTGTTTTAAATCAATACTAATTAAGTTTATCACTAGTATTATTGTTGAGTGGTATTTCTTTTCACTTGTAAATTAGAGGTCCTAACTTCGATTCTCGCCAAAGGCGATTTAAACCACTTTATTGCTAGTCTATTGTGAGGCATAACTCATTCCCCCACCCTCTTAATGTAGATAATATCATTTGTTAAAAAAATGCAAATTAACTCATCACCTCGATTTCAAAATCAATAATATTTAGGGCAACGACTAGTACTCTAAACATCTTACTAGTAAACACTTTGAACCCCATGCTATACACCATATGTATTCTATGTCACATAATTGGTATTAAAATATTAAGATATAGTTGGCGCCAGTAGGTCAAAAGGAGAGATTGTTTAGTGCAGAGATTTTTTAGTATATCTAGAATATGGGATTAAACATTACATATCATAGATAATTGGAGAGACAATTGAAAAAAAAAAAAAAAAAAATCTTCATTTGTATAATAACATGTAACGTACCATTCCGTGTTCAAATACACTGAAAATTCTCTCGACGAAAACACGGCTTCGTGTCGAGTGCTAAGACTTGTGCGCTTGTTGCACCCGACTAGCTCATACTAGACTAGCTTGGCTTAGACTAAGTAGTACTAAAATTGTGAATCGTTTGATGCAATGTCGCATTAAGACTAAATTTATTTTTAAATTAATTATAAAAACTAAATTTCACATTCTGATCTGAATAATTAAATTTAGACATCCTCCAAATTCTTTTTTCTTTTATTTTTTTTTTAATTGATGAAGTTCAAGATAATCATGGTAATTCTAATATATTACGAAAAATAATAATAATAATTAAGTTCATCAATTTCCCTTCTTCATGCCTTTCCATCTCTGTTCATCTGCCATAGCCTTGCTAATCCCATCATCATCCCAATTATGAAAACAAATAGTTGCAGACCTGTTTTCTCCCAACGGCATGCTTTGATGAAGAACAATACATGGCTCTCACCAGTTCACGCGAAGGAGGCGTAATGGACATGAATGTAGTGGATGACAAATCTGATTCATTTGTGGTATTCAATTATCGATTTCATTTATGTGCGGGGTTCTAACAGTTTGAAAATTGAAGACAAGTTTTTAATTTTCAATCCAAAAAACTTCCGGAACCAGACTTTCTTTTCAATTTTTTGAAACTTTTAGAATACCTATTATCTCGAAATATCTTAGAAAATAATTTAGGATTCCTACATTTTACAAGTTTGACTCAGCCTATTTAGTATGTTTATAACAAGGAAGAAAATAGAATTTCTGCATTTTACAAATTTAAAGATACTTGAATTGGTTCGGCATCAACTGTCGCCTCGTGAAGTTTGGTTTCTCGCTTATGTGCTATATGGATATGATCATGGGATTGCTTGTCTTGTCACTGTTTCAATTAAGATGGATCCAAAAATGGTTCGCTGAATGAGAGCTTATTAATCAAGAACAAATTAATAGAGTATTCATGTATTTTTCATTCCTAACTTGCACTACAAGAAACTGCTTTTTAATTACAAAATTTATGGCATTTAAAACAAAAATGTCATTAAAAGAACCCATGATGGCTTTTTTTTTCTTTTTTTTTTTTTTTTTTTCAAATGATCTCACTCTCTCTCATGACATGTATTTTAAAAAGCGTCAAGGGTAAGATCCTTTAATGACTTTTTTTTTCTAAACGACATAAGTTTTACGTTATTAAAGGGTAATTTTCTTGTAGTGTAAGTGAGAGCACCTTTAAGAATTTAACCCCATTTTCATGAAAAATCAAGCTAATTTTGTCTTTTTCTCTATTTTTTTCTTTACTTGTTGCATTGATAATTTAATACTCATTCATGTTAACAATAATATGCTACTCAATATGATTTTAAACATGAGATCGGGAGTGAGCAAACAAAGAAGGGGGAGGAAAACTTAATAACTGTCACATCCAGGTCCGGGGCGGGACCACTTTACGGGCTCTACTCCACCGTAGCATGATATTGTCCGCTTTGGGCCCCCAACACACCCTCACGGTTTTGTTTCTAGGAACTCACATGAAAACTTTCCAGTGAGTCACTCATCTTGGAAATGCTCTCGCGCGCTACTCGCTTAACTTCGGAATTCCGATGGAACCCGAAGCCAGTGAGCTCCCAAAAAGCCTCATGCTAGGTAGGGATGAGAATATATAAGGATCACTCCCCTGGGCGATGTGAGATCTTACAATAACTCAACTAGAATTTGTAAATATTTCACAAGATTAATATATACACTAAATTTTCAACTTTGGAAAAAGAGAGAGGGTACGTATGTGCCCTCCCTCTCCTCTGACTTATACTTTCTCGAGCTCTAAACACATGACCATATTCTGAGTACACCTCAAAATTATTCTCAACATACATACACAACATTACTTAATATCTTTTTTGGTTGGGAAACCAATGTTTTATTTTTAATTTACTAGCTGTATTACTAACACATAACCTATCCACTTTGTTTAGGTGTATCAGTATTACAATTGTATCTGTTGGTTCACCTAATGAATCATTGGCAACCATCAGGGGCAAATCCAACCTTTCCACCAGCAACGTCATACACTACCTGCAACCTCTTCTGTTGAACGTTCCCAATAATCCCGACACTCCTATCATCTTTGTTTCCGGCAAACGCCAAGCAAAACTGCGAAGCACTCTGCTGGACTAATATTCCTGTTGCGTCCACGTCTACCGTAACCCCATTGCCAAACACAAACCCTATCTTTGGAAAGGTTATCGTTTTGATTCCACTGAAATCGTAACACGTGTCCAGCAGGGAAGAAATCGACGTAGCAGTTGGGTACCTCTTCATCGCTTCTCGAAATGCGTTCCGCAGCGCTGTGTACGCAGTGGCTGGGAGGCGCGTGATCACAGTCCCCGAGTCGATAATTGTTCCCGAAGTCGAAAATACCGAAGCTGAAATTGGCAGTTGACTCCCACCGATGCTGATACCGACCAGTTCGAGGCCGTAATACAACGCGCCTCGAGATAATGTGGTGAGCGGTGTGAACTTGACGGCGTTATATCCTGAACGTCCATTGTCGGAGTTGCCTAAGCTGAGGTAACCGGTGGAGCTTGAAGTGGAGGGGAGGCAGTAGGAGAAGAATCTGTTGTACTTCTGAGCTCTTTGTTCAACGAGGGAGATCTTGCTTCGACCGAGACCGAGCAAACCGGCGATGCCCCTAAATAAGCCTTGGTTATTCTGGCCGCAGCCGAAGACGAAACCATTAAAAACATCTGTTGAAGTCAAAGTTAACTTCTCGCTGGCAAAGAAGCCGACCGTGAACGAGCGGTCTCCATACTGTTGGCCGTAAACACAGGTGGAGGCGGAACAATTGCTAGCGACACCGGAGGCTGCAAGTTGGGAACACGCGGCGGAGTTGCAGGAGATGTTGGAGTAAGAGGTAGAGAGAGAAGGGTCGAAGATGGGATCTTTCTGTTGGTAACAAGATACAGAACATGGTCGGCACTGCGTCCAAGTGAGACTGCTGCCGGTGTCGAATACAAGCGAGAGTTTCTTCTGGGGCGAACCCAAGCCAACACTGACGAAGTAGTTTCCTGAACCAAGTACGCTGCCGGACTGGGCGGGAATCACGGTGGCGTCGGATTGTGCAAGTGGGACGGGGATTCTGTAATTATGGATTGGGTCGTTGAAATGGGAGTGGATTGAGTTGACTCGGGCTTCGTCTTGCTTGAGGATTTGTGTGTGATATTCATCTTGATCGGCAGGGTTACTGTTTGATTTGAGTTGGTGGAATTGGTTGCATGGGCCATGCTTGTGGACCACTTTCAGTACGGATGCCGCCTTATTGTCATGACCTGAATTGAAACATGTATAGGTTTGTCATTATATACATAGTTAATAGTCACAATATATATATTGTGTGGGGACAGAACGGTGGCACCACTTTTTTTTACACATGTTTTTATAAAGCTTACTTCGTAATATATTTCAATTATTCAAAGTGTATTGCTATTCAAATCATCTATCTTTTAGATATTCCTTAAAGATCGTGTCTACTAAAAATCATTTAAATCTGAAATCATATGAATGTTGAATTACGATTTAGGATTTTTTTGTAAAACCATATTTGTCAATTTTATTCATAAAAAGATGGACGGTTTTGATGGTTAAAATACATAACGGAGTGGGTACATTTTAGCCATAAATAAAAACATACCAAAGGTGACGTTTCTAACATTAAGTGGATTTATTTGGAAAATTAAATTAAATTATGTTGACATGTAAATAATTATTAAAATATTGACGTGGATAAGAATCAAAGGACCACGATAAAAAATTTAAAAAAAAAAGAAAAAGATTTCAATCGATGGAATAGAAAAATGAAGGATTTAAACCTAATTTTTTCTATAAAATATTTCCATGGTACTTGCACTCATTCAGCACCATGCATGCAATAATCCGTACATAAAGCAAGCAGAGTACGCTCCATTGAAAGGTTGAAAAGACAACATCTGCGTGCATGGATAGAGGAGTTAGCTAGAGAGAATATGGGATTAACCTTTGGTGGAGGGGCTGCAGGTGTTTGCTGGTAGAAGAGAGTTGACTTCAACAGTGTGAGTAAGTGAAAGGAGGTGGGTTTTTGTATCTCTTACTGCCAAAGAGCAGAGAATTAGGCATAGAAATGCTGATAAACCAATGGAGAATCTAAGGAACAAGGAGGAGCTAGAAATGGGAGTTGCCATGGATAGCAAATTAGCAAGTCTTCTTGCTATTTCCTCTTGATAATGTTGTTCCTGTGAGCATACGTTCTCAACCTTATATGCTAATTGGAAATTTGGAAGATATGCAGGGATGGCAACTGTGTGTTGTCGGGTTTAATTATTTTTCCGTTGAAGAGTACATAGTTTGATCAATTGGTAATCATAGTTTAAGTACGACGGAAAATTTAATATTATTATTATATTAAATTTATTAATGAGTGGAACTTAGAAGTAATGTCTTAATGGAAATACGTTTCTATCCTATTGAAGAGTTATAACTTTTAACTTTTTATGAACAATCACATGCTTTTCAAAGAGGCATCTCAAATTCTATAAATAAGGAAGCTTTATAGTCGTTGGACAATTTTTCATCATCCATATATTCATACATATAGTGCACTAAACGTAAGAGAGTCTCTTTAAGTCTATACAAGAGAGTTTTCTACATGATCGTGGTTCAGTGGAGCCTTGTGATATGGAGTGCTACTATTACAAGGACTTGGTCGTTGTATCATGGGAGACAAGCTCTGGTCAACCATGAACATCATAGTAGGGCGTAAACTTATCTTAAGAACATAGTGTCCAACACTTGCCTCGACCATATTTTAAAGTTTTTCTAATCCATTATGTCATGTTCATTTAACATTGGTTACTTATGTGCATGCATTACTTTGATATATAATTGCATGAATTATTTTTTGATTTTCTATGCAATAATATGGCAATTAGCTCATATTTTTCTAACAATCTTAAGACAAGTTTATTGGTTTGATTACTATGTTTGAGAATTAAATTATCCGTGATATAATAATACTTGGTCTTATGGGCATGATCTTTCTTTCAGACTTATTTCTTTCATGTTTTGTCTCTATAGATTAATTTTTATGGTAGAATTAATGGTCTGGTAAGTAATTTTCATGAGGTTGTGGCTTTGATTCCAAACAGTGTCGTCAATTTAAAGAAAACCATTTATTTTCTTAATTACAATTTAAATACATATCATATCTGATAAAAACTATCATATAATATGTCTGATATGTCATTTAGTCCTCTATAAGTACAGAATTGACAAATATTGTAAGAATCTTAGGGGGTTTATTAAGATTTATACGGACTCATGTTGAGTTTTAGAAGCGATCAACTTTCACGAATTTGGTAGAATTTGATTAAATATTTTAAAACTCCATAAAGTTTCTTGGACTTTAATGTAATTTTGTGGAAAAGAATAAAGAGTTAAATGATGGACTTTTGCAAAATTCTAGAGAGTACTCAATGCTAGAATATGTTAGGATTACGTGGTTTATCAAGCATATTTATTATGTTTTAGTTTTTATTATTAAAATGGTCATCATGATCATGACAAAGTGGTCTTATAAGATGGTAGTAATAACGATGGTGATGAAAAGTGTCACGTAGTACTTGTTGACAAGATGGTAGTAGTAAAGTTGGTGTTTTTTGTGACTATGATAATAGCAGGGGTGGCGAGTGTGGTGGCAGGTGGTGTTCAGGTGGTGAATAAGCAGTGATGGCCCAGTGGTGATGAAGGTCATAAAGGTGGTGATTACAACCATGGTGATGCCAATACGGTGGTCATCGTAGGAGTGGCGATGATGCTCATGGCAATGAAGGTTGCGGCGATGATGGATGGAGGAGATGGTTATGGTAAGGTGGTGTTGCCGACATGTGGTAAAAGTAGTGATAATGATAGTCATTGCATTATAGTGGGTGGTGAAGTATATCCTAAAAAAATAGAGAAAAATGAATTATCAAAATATTTGGGGGAGAGGTTAAATTTTTCATGACAAAAAATTACCATAAAAGAGCAAAGTCCATTAAAATCCATAACTTTTACAAATCCTTTAAAATAAATGAAACTGAATACACCTAAACTTTGGCAAACTCACAAAAGTTATAATTAAATACCATAAGATTTTCATAGACTTTTTAAAAGTTATGAAGGCTTTATCCAATACATGGTGATTTTCATTGACTTCTTTAAAGTCTATTTATATATATTTTTTCCGTCAAACCTTAAAAGTATATATTGAATACCCTTGGATTTAAGAGTCAAGCAAAGTCCATCAACCTTCATATACAATACATCCCTTTATTATACAAAATTGTGAATTTATTTGAAACATATAAATTATTAAAAGATATTCTAATTTAATCGATATTTTACAGAGATAATTTTTATATTGTAATTAAATAAATAAAATGTTCTGCATACATGTATATGTGTGTGTGTGTGTGCGTGTGTGTGTGTGTGTATGAATATGATGAGAGTTAGTCACAAGGGCAATGGACAAGCCAGTGTACAAGTAGTAGTAGTGCACTAATTATCTCAATGCACTTGGAAATATTGCATACAACCAAAGTCAATGTCAAATTTTCAAAAGTACATTGATCACGTGTATGAATTTTTATTGGGATATCCTCACGCGTAGTTCCAACTTCCACATATATGGATGCCCTTTCTAAGTCATGGTTCGTCCACTTATCTCCACCAAGATTAAGATTTCTTACAATTGTTGGTTGAGTTGAGAACATGGTTCGTCCACTATCTACGCTGATGCCCTGTCTTCAATTGAAAAATATATTCATACATCTAGAAAGAAAAAAAATAGTTAGTTTGGATCGTTGAAGTTCGATGTATAATAATAGGTTCTACAACTAATCTTCTTTTCTACCAAACAGTGGGGAGCCTCAATCTAAGCTGATGCCCTGTCTTCAATTGAAAAATATATTCATACATCTAAAAAAAATCATTTGGATCATTCAAGTTCGATGTATAATAGGCTTTACAACTAGTCTTCTTTTCTACCAAAAATGGGGACCCTTTTGGATAAAGGCTGTTGAAACATGTATTATTACAGTACCACTTAAATTTCTCCATAAGTGAAAAATATCAATTATGTCGTCTACCATAACATATAAAAAGTTACACCACATGGCACGTATTTCAATTACACAAAATCATGCCTTGCTGCAAGCCCTAGAAAATATGGATCCAAAAACAATTTCGCCAAAAAAATCTTTTTAGCGTTTTAAAAGCAACTTGAAACGAGCTCTAAGTTAATTCATCGTTGTTTGTCTTCGTATGTACAATCCAATACCTCAAAGAAGGTGTTTTAGTATTACTGTTACCAATGTGGTTTACTTCAATTTTCGTCAAATTATTTTTCATCAATCTTTATAACCTGGCCTCTACGTGTAGGTCACGTTCTGTCGTAGTTTTCTTTTTATGTTTAAATTTCATTTTTCTTTGTTTAGATGAATAAAATAAATTTAAAATAAAAGTCAGAATTCATACATTAACATGCACCAATTTTCTTGTTTGGATTCATAAATACAAAAAAATTACCATAAAAGAGCAAAGTTTTAAGATCCCACATCAACCAACGAAGAGGGGGTGATGTGCCTTATATGTACATGCTCCCCTCCTATAGCACGAGGCATTTTGGGAACTCACTGGTTTCGGATTCCATTGGAACTCTGAAGTTAAACGAGTTCGGGCGAGAGCATTCCTAGGATGGGTAACTCACTGGGAAGTGCTTACAGAGAATTTTTATATTGTAATTTAATAAATAAAATGTTCTAATTATATATATATATATATATATATATATATATATATAATGAGAGTTAGTCACTAGGGCAATGGACAAGCCAAAGTCAATGTACTTGGAAATATTGCATACAACCAAAGTCAATGTCAAATTTCCAAAAGTCCATTGATCACATATGAATTTCATTGGGATATCCTCATGCGTAGTTCAAACTTCCACATATATGGTTGCCCTTTCTAAGTCATGAGTCGTCCACTTATCTCTACCATGATTAAGATTTCTTACAATTGTTTAATGCAACAAGAAAAGTCTGAACTTGGCACTTAATACTACAGTCTAGTGATATTCCTTTTCAATTGTAAGTGAAAGGTCTTAAGTTCGATTCTCGCGAAATGCGAATTTGAACCACATTATTGCTAGCCCATTGTGAGGTTAAGCCCATCCCCTTATAAATAATATCGCTTCTTCAAAAAAAAAAAAAAAATCCGAACTTAATCACGAAATATATTGCTCACTTTGGGACTACTTTAAGAAAGTGTCATCCACATCAACACTTAGAAGTATTTACGTTTTTGTATATGACCCAAAAATTTCTATGTTTAATGATTATTTTTCAGTATTTGATTGATATGTTGTTAATTTTGGATCGAAATGTTGTTAATGTGATCGATATTTCTTTTTAAAGAAGTATGGTGACATAAACCTTATTTTAATATAAAATATAAAGAATATAGGGCGAGACATAAATCTGATCCTTGTGAAGGCAACAACAAAAATACAAGAAAAATAGGAGGGAAGTCATAAACTTGATCCCTCTTGAAAACAAAAGAAGAAAAAAAAGAAAAAGAAAAGAGGGGTATGAGCTATTTATCTAAACAATTTCCAAAATTAATAGACGCTGACAAAGGTTTTGGATTTGAGGTGTAGTTTTTAAATCTCATTTTTGAATTTAAGTTGTAGTTTTTAAATAATAAATTATGTTTGGCTCTATGGCCCTTTGGCCTTTGGTTGGAGACGATTTTTTGTGACAGGGCTAAAACGAGCCTTATGGCCTTTTGGCCCTCAGTTGGAGATGAAGGCAAATATGACATTATATTGTTCATTAAAATATTAATATCTTAGAGGGCCAGAGTGCTAAAACGAGCCATTTGGTCAGCCCTCGATTGGAGATGGCCTGAGAGTCCTGGTTTTTTGTTGGTTGAGTTGACAACATGGCCCATGCCTATGATCCCGTGATCTCATCCGTTCATCGTATATCGTACGATCAGTTTTCGTTAGGTACTATTTATATTTAATTTTAAATTTTAAATTTTGAAATGATTCTGACTGTACGATTTACGATGAACGAGTAAGATCACGGGATCCCTAAGCCTATCTACCACTTTCTACGCCAATGCCCTGTTATTGAAACGACCTCATTGAAAAATATATTGATGCATCTAAA